TACGGTCCACGGACTGTTTGTGAATCCGATATTGATTTGATATCTCCTTCCCCCCCACCACCACCACTACCACTATGGCTTTCAACTGCAACATTTTCACAGCCAATATCATCATAATGAGATCTTTTACCCAACTGCTGAATGCAAACTTAAGATATTCTGGAACTGCTCCAGAGTTTCCATTCAGGGCTTCAAATGCTGTGTCCTAAACAGTGATGTGGTTAAGCCACTTCCTCCCCTGGAACATACCAAGCATAGGAGCCTCCCAGTTGATGAATGAGAGTTCTGTATCTGCACTCAGTCTACTCTGCAGAGCTAAACACAGCCCAGGTATGCCTCTTGCAGTCATGCTATTTTGCAATAGCTCACAATACAGGAGTGAAGGACTCCCCGTAGTGCCTCCCAGCTCAGGACGCTGGTTACAAATCCAAGGCAAGTGGAATTATTCTTTGTTAACTTTCTTGCAAGTAACACCCTGCTACGCTAGAATGCTACACCCTCAGATATGTAGAGTGCTTTGTTCTCTGGCTTCTGAAGTGGACTGTCCCTCAAATACAGGCTTCCCTACCACAAGGGGAAAACATGCTTTTTAGTACTTACAGTAGAGGTGGTGAAAAGGTCTGTTTTAGGCTGACTTTCAAACAGGCTGTCAGTTGGCAAAGCACTCTGTCGAGGAGCAGGCTTTGGAGGTTCTAGGTAGAAGAGACATACTGCTGCATTACTAAACCTTTCAGACATATACTCAGCTCTCTGTATAGCAAGGCCAGCTAGTCTAGTACATATTACTCTTAATAGGCCAGTAATTATGTCCTGCCTTCACTTCAGTGCATTTACTCTAGGCAGGAACTAGTTTACTTGTGTGGGCTAATCAAATAGTTTAGTCACTAGGTGTCAGTGTTTGGCCACTGCTACAGGTTATGTTTTTTGAAAAAGTTATTAGGGGAAGCAACTGCTGAATCCACCATTTCAGGGCTAAAATTATTTACTGAGTACTATCTGATAAAGGGCAGTGGCCAGCCTCCCCACTCCCTGTACAGCTATACTAGCAGAAGAGATTTTGGCAGACAACTTGCTAGCTTCCAAGTTATCATGTTGGACTAGATTATCTCTAAGTGTCCCTTCCAACCTTAAGGATTCTATGATGTGTAGTATCTTGAGGAATGCCTACTTTACTACTAAAATAGCTACCAAAAGTTCCATTAGCACCTGAAAGGCTTTGCTGCTCCCCTCTCCTTGCTGGTACTGCAGGTGGCTTTGTCAGCTGGAAGTCTTTGAACATTTCCTTGATATCCTTCATTTCTCTATGACCAAGTGCATCCAAAGCAATAAAGTCATCACTCTCTCTCTTGGATAGTTCCTTCTGAGGTGCAGTTCTAGGTGGTGGCTGAGATGGGGTAGCAGTTGTAGACATAGAAGGCAGTACAGATGGTGTCTGAGCAGGTAGTGTTGAATGTGGGAATACACTACTCTGGAATGGATTTACAGCATTGGATGGCTGTGCCCAGGAAGCAGATGGAACTTGTGCTGGCTGTGCCCACAGACCAGGGGACTGAGAGGGTGCTGGACCAGAAGATGCTGGTTGGTTCCAGCTTGACACTGCTTGAGTACCAAAACTAAGTGGTTGAGTAAATCCTGTAGGCTGAGCAGGCATCATAGATCCAGGAAAGACAGATGCAGCCTGAGTGAAGGCAGAGGTCTGTGCACTCCATAGTGATGAAGTTACTGGGAAGCCACCTGGGAGGGAGATTGTTACTCAGCAACTTAAACTCTAAGCAGAAGTGCATTCATTCCACTGAGGGTACCAGCAAGATATTTTGCGTATGCTCTTTGCAAAAAAAATTGTTGCTTAACACTTAAAGGCATTTGGCTGAGGGCAGGGAAAGGAGACATATACCTTCTACTCAGCTCTTTCAGTCCTTAGTGGAGCTGAGGTTGTTAAACAAGCAATAAGAACATATTTAGTCATGGAAGCATCTACTGTACAATTACAGACAGTTAAGTCTATAAGGCTAAAGCTATAAGACCATAGTGATGTTACCCTGGCTTTACAAGTTGTGGCTGGCACACCTGATCTTGTGCAACTGAACCAGCAAGCTGTCCTTTAAGTTTACTTTAAGTTTAAGCTAGGAAAAGCCAGTTTGGAGAGCAGAATTTAGGGTTCTACTTGCAGAATTTACAGTCCAGTATAGACAAAAAAAGCATATGAACTTAGTATTGTACATGAAGAGAACTGAACTAGAACCACCACATTGATATCAATAGATGTGTTAGACTGGAGCAAGAGTTTCCTTTTGTGAACTAACCTAGGCCAACCAGTGGAGGTGCTGTGGTAGGACTTGCTTTGAAGAGGTCCAGTGGATTAGTTGGCACAGGTCCTGGCTGCATCACTGAAGTCAAACCAAGGTTCTCGGTAGTTGGTGCAAACAAATCTGAACTAAACAAGTCACTTGATACAGTCTGGAAAGTAAGAAAGCTGTTGTGAGAAAGCTTGTCCACGTATTGGATAGCAAGATCAAGACACTAATCTGGAACTACACAAGCTTTTATAACAGCTACTGCAGAGCAGCATCTTCAGTGTATTCTGCTAGGGCTCAAGTACAGAAGTCTCAAACCTCACTATTCAGTTTGAGCATATATAATACTCATTTAATACTATGTATCAAATGAGCATCATCTACCATCAACGTGTAGTTACTGTCTGTTGCACCTTGCGAAAGAACGGAC